GCTAACATACAACCTAGCATACACAATGCTATGAAATGGCATACACGATGCACGAGATAACATGGCATACACAATGCGCTAACATACAACCTAGCATACACAATGCTATAAAATGAAATGGCATATATAATGCGCAATGGACTTACACCAACATGAGTGGACCACAGCCACACTCACATAAGAGGCCATAAGATGAAAATGAGACTCTCGAAGTACGTGCACGCATGCACGCAAATCGAGGACCGACCCTAAGGCACCGAATGCCACTCTAACAAGACATGGCAAGGCATGGAATATGACATACTAGCATGCAAGTTTCAGTAGCAAAACAAGACGCAAAACAGCCCCAAAACATGGCAATATGGCACCCGATGCATGAAATGAGACCCGAAATGCAAAACTAGGCGCACGCAACGGCCTACAGCTATACAAAGCATGCATTATTTGAATATGAAATGTAAAGACAGACTCAAGACAGTCCCAAAACAAGCAGGTTTACAGTTTTAAGCAAGGCCAAACAGCGAACACAGATAGGGCTAAACCGATATGCAAAAAATGGCCCTAAATGTGAGATAAAGAAACAAGTCACAGCTGCTGGCCCCAAACAGGAGAGGGTCCTTCAACAATGTTGAAGAGGGACCCAAAACATGGCATTTTACAGTTTATGAACGAGCCAAAAACAGTACACAAGCATGCTCAAAATACTATGCAAAACAAGGCCAAAAAGAGAGCTATAACACAAAGTACAAAAAGGATGCCTCAAACAGTAAAAGACCCTTAATGAAACATGAAGTGGGGGGTCAAAATAAGGCCATTTATAGTTCGGACCAGAGCCCAAAAACAGAAGCAAAAGAGGCTAACAAATCATGCAAAAATGAGGCCAAAAGATGGATATAAAGGCAAGTGGAAGATAGAAGCCTCAAACAGTGATGATCACTTCAACAACATTGAACAAGGGCTCAAAATAAGCCACTTTACAGTTTATGACATGCCTTAAAACAATTTATACATAGGCCAAAAATACTACACAAGAAAATGGCATACAAGGGAGGCAATGAAGCAAGTGCAACAAGGAGGCCTCAAATAGTGAGAGGCCCTCAAAAAAACATGAAAAATAGCTCAAAATAAGCCTAGCTCCAGTTAGGGTCGGAGCCCAAAACAGCAAGCAAGTATGGCTAATGTATTGAACAAAATAAAGCACAAAAAATGAGAATAGGGACTCACCCTTGAAGACCAATCTTTGACAGCTCCTTGGCTTGAGTTTGGTGGCTCATTAGCTCTGAAAATAGCCCTGAAGCTGCTGGAATGGATGATGGTGATGTGGTGCTAGGTGGTGGTGTGGAAATGGTGTAGGGCTTGAGGGTTTGGAGCTTGGAAATATAGAAAGAGAGAGAGAGAGATTGAATGCAAGAGGCTTGGGGGAAATTTTTGTAACCCTAAATATGCAGCTGGAGGGCCTGCTATATAGGCAAAAGAGGGGGGAAAAGGGGGGGAAAAATGGAGGGAAATAAATCAAGTTTCCCCCCAAAAAATGCAGCCCCCCGGATACAGAGTCTGGGGGGAAAAAGAGAGTGTATCTGCACTGTACTTGATGCAAGGATTTTGGCCGGCCAGTTATTGAGACTGTAGGTGGCTGGCCGGCTTTCCCCATGGCCGGCCGGCCAAGGGTCAAAAGGGTCAAGTATGATTAGTGGCTGGCCATTACAGAAAGAGGACCTCCCATGTGTGCACAACACAACCCTGTGGTCAAAAACTGGAGAAAGTAAACCAGGAGAGAGAACAACCCACTTTTCAAAGGGGTTCAAAAGGTTCAAAAGCAATTACTGTCCGGCCACCAAATATTGGTGGCCTCCCAGATGTGTACATCACAAATATGGGGTTTAGGGTGCAAGAAAATGGCCCAAGGGTGGTCAACATTGGCTTTGAAGTGAGAAAAATCGGGCGACGGAGGGCGATGAAGGGATAAAATTGGCTGACAGAACAATTATTGGCCTCCCATCCTTCTATGACCTTCCTAGCAATGAAATAGAGGTCCCTGCCAAAAATGAACTAAAACTGATGCAAAATGAAGGTTAGGGGGCTGGAACGCGCAGCCCGAGGCCCCGAAAACTGACTGTTAGGCACCGGAAGTGGTGTTCGACCACGAAGTTGGTCTCCCGGACTACAGTGTCCCTCAAAAGGGAGCAAATAAGATGTATGCCAAAAATCGGGGCAAACAGAGGTGGTTAAGCGGTCCCGAACCGAGGCACACGGCCAACGGCTCCGAAAAACCAGAAACCGGGCTCCAAACGGGCAAAATGGCCTACGACCATGAAACGTAGCCTACGGCCACTGAGAGATGATCTACGAGACCTCTCCCTCCCTTCGGGAAGAGAAAACAGAGCCTGATTCGCAAATCGAGACAAAACACAAAAGAGTCCGGAAGTCCGGAGGCAAGGCTCGCAGCCGAGACTCTGAAACTTCTGAACGAGCACAATATGCAATATCACCGAGCGCTTAACTGGTGACGTCTGAGTCTCAAGATCGGTCAAAAATGGGGTGTCTACACAACCGAGACGATACAACAAAGAGACGACACAGCAGAAAACCAGAGAGATGACACATCAGAGGGTGTCGGATGAAGCCAACGAAGGCATAGGGGTTGTCGGCTAGATCAAAGAGACTGCCAGTGGCAGTCGGCAAGGCTTGGGCAGCTTGCACCAGCGGCCGACTAGGCTAGGAGGCTTGTCAGCAGTGGCCGACTGGCCCTCGGCAGTCTTCAGACGAGTGGGACGAGGCCAAGGAGCCTTGCGGCAGTGGCCAACTGGGCTAAGGAGCCCTCGATAGCCTTCAGCTGAGTAGGATGTGACCAAGGAGCCCTGTGGCAGTAGCCAACTAGGCTAGGGTGGCTTTTGTAGTGGCTGTGTGGTGGTGTAAGGGTTTAGGTTTGAGACTCTGATACTATGTAGGTTTAGAGAAGAGAAAGAGTTAGGGAATATGTTAGACCTCATCCCATTTTATATTGATAATAATGAGTAATTGCTTGAGTGCCATAAGACATAAATTATGGGCCAGCCCATTACATCAAGCAAGGGAAAATAAAATAAAATAAGAATAAAATATAACAAATATTCTTTCATATTCTAATAGATTTGTTATTTAATGAACAAACTTCAAACAAGCCAAACATGAGTTGAATACAAATTGTTTGGTTCGTTAGTCACCTTTATATATAATTATATCAAATAAAAAAATAATATATAAGTTCACTTTCTAGACCTACTGACTTGTAAAAGAGATGATGATTGATGATTAAATAAAATGTGTAAAAGAGAGAATTAAGTTAGATATTTTAATAAATTATCACATCACCGTATTTAGAAAATAAATCTAACTTTTAGATTAGAAAACAATACGGAATAATACATATATTAGGAAAAAAACCAAAAGGTGTAGAGTGAAAATTGTCCAATTTTTTTTTTTCCATTCATGGACATTGGTGACATTGGTTAGCTAGACGCTCATGACCATACATTTTTAATGTGCGAGGAAAACTTGCCGTTACACAACACCTGGCAGCCAGCAAGTATATAGAATAGGAAACTGGATCCCTCTATTACTTATTCTGGATGGGAGAATGTTGTTTAGATTTGTGCAATTTATGACGGGTTTCGTTTTGATGATTCGAATTATTTATTTTACTAGATATTTTGTATATGTTATTCACACAATAAGTTAAGTCGATCCAATAATCAATAATCTATTAAATTCATTCTGTTTGTAATAAAAACATAAATGTCTATTTTTAAAAACACAATTATCGCTTATTTTTTTAATGACAAATATAATAAATTGAATATGTTACAATTATCATATTAATTTAACTTTTTTCTATTTAATATATATAAAATACATAATAAAATAAATAATTCAAATTATTAAAACAAAATCGGTGCAATTCATAAACTGGAACAACAGTATCCTTCGATTCATATGAAGAACCGAAAGGGCCCCATGTCCGTAGGAAAGAATAGAATAGAACAGAAACAAAATGTTACATATGTCAAATAATCTATTCAATTTTTGAAAAATGTTTCAAACTCCCTTTTCCTCCCACCCTCTTTGACCCTCATTCTCTTTGATTGGCCAGTTTTTGTTTTTTTTTTTTTCCTTCTCCTCCAATCACCACCGGCAACGTTTGTGCGGGGGTGGTGAGAGCGGTGATTGGAGAGAGTCTCTATCAATGTTGTTAATTTTTAACAAAACTTTCATTTGGGTATATGATTCACACAAATTCACATGTATGAGATCCCATATCTATGTGAAAATTTTGATAAAAAATTTAATAAATTATTTAAAATTTCAAACATAACTCTAAGAACAGAATAGAACTTTGGAATCAGAACACCGTGATCGACTAGACTAACTGTGGGGTCAACTAGGCTCCATCACCGTTTGATTAAGATAAGATGATCTTGCGACGTGGCCATGTGTGTTCACTTGTTTTATTGTATAGCTACACCCACCAAGATATCTTCAGGTTTCCCACTTGAACTCCCCCACCCGGACACAAATGGATCTGATTAACTTTTTCTAGCCATATTTACAAGAAGTCGTTGGGTCCAAGCAACGGTTTCTCTTTCTCTTTCTCTTTCTAGAAAGAGAGAGAGAGAGAGAGATAGCTTCAATGGCCGCGAAGCTATCGTCGTGTTTTCTGAGCCATGGATGGAATGTCCTCAACTGTAAGCACTCCAATCTACGCCTCTCTCCTTTACCTTCTTACCGTTCGCTTCCAGCCTCGTGTAAGATGCGACAGCGTAATTTCAGGTGTACTTTCTCTCACTACTTCATCAATTCTGATTCTCTTCATAATAAAATCGCATCAATAGTTGTATTTAAGCTTTTGTTATTATTTTTATTTTTTATATTTGATTTGAAATATAATAATAAGTTTACAACAGTCATTAGAATGATGTAATGGAGAATCTGAACCCTTATTTCATCGCACAAAACAAAACATTTCTTCTAATTTCATGAGAACCAATCAGTATTCCGCTCAATACAAAAAGTCCTATCTTTTATTAAGTTTTGTTTATTTCTTTGGATTTTGAAGACAAGAAATCTCTTTTAATGTAATTGAAGTTCGTTGATTGCGGGTTTGCCTTTGCGTGATTTTATTGTTTACATTGCGTGTGCCTTTTTATTTTTTTTATTCTTTTTATTTTTCTTCCTTCTGTGTAGTAGTGTGTGAAGAAGTCAATTGTCCCTTTCCTTTCTCACTGTACACATTTTCTCAGAACCAGTTGTGGAAGGGTTTGACATGGTGTTAAGAGGGTGGCTCGGAAAGAGATGGAGCAGTCCGATAAAGAAAAATAGAGGCAGGGCAGTATAAGTGCTCCAAGTATAGAGTTCGGGCATGATTTTGATTCTTGATATTCCGTACATAGGTTTAGTAGCGTCGTGAGGCATAGTGTCAGGGCGAATCCTCCAAGCCACAAGATCCCTAGTATGCCTAAATATTGTCTTAGGCACTTGAGTGGTGGGGTATATGACAAGTGGTACTTGAGTAATAGATCCCACCATATTAATTCTGCAGTAACGAGGTGCGTGGTATGACTTTTGCTGCTATATGATAGCTTAGACCTGCAGGACATCAGGTCAACAAGGCTTCACCAAGATGAAAGTCTTAGGGATTAAGCTTGTACGAGATGCTTGTTAATCCTTTGATTTCATTTGGTTAAGACCAAGCACATGGACGGTACATGTCTCTTGAGGACTACCACGTGCAGGTTTCTATGTTGACTTTTAAGGTACATGTTGCCACCTACGTGTCTCCAACATGTGACAGTATATAAGATATTTTTACATTTCCTCCTGCACGCATCACACAATGTGGAGATCTGTGCAGAAACATAGGTAGGGTTTTTATATTTTCTGAGATTCCTACCTAACCTAGTCGCATGTGTATAATAACAATGCCCCCTAGTGGCATGTGTTTTCTTTGTGCGTTTGCAAATATGGATTTCTATGCAATGATTATGTCTTTTCAATTAATGGACTGCCTGCAAAATATGAAATATTATGATGGTTTCGCCGAATGTTGTGTTTTGCAAAGCATTGTTAGAATGAATTTCGGGACACTATATAATGGTCTCATTTCATTCTTTACTTTATTTGCTCTCACACACAAGTTTGCCTTGGCAATTCTCCTTTGGGTACAAACTTTAATTTTATTCTTCTCGTTCGACCAGATTTTGTCTCATTCAATTGTATCATTCTTCAATGGCAATGCGCACGTTCTCGACGTGCAATGCACTATCTGTCGCATAGTTTGGGGATGGCTCCTCCAACATTACTAGCTCCAAAGCAGTGGCAACAAGGTGCCTTCATGAAGATGATTACTTTTAGGTAGCCATCCATTATGCTTCATCTCATTTGAATGTTACAACATAAAAACAATTTAGAGAAGCATTGGTTTGGGCTTTGATTTAAGTTGGCAATCCAAAGCACAGGAAGTTTATCTATGCTTCATGATAATCATTTGCTAGAAGTTTGGCCGCTGTGGTGGATTATGGGTACTCACACCTTCTTTATTAGTTGAAGACAATTACACCTTACACCTTACTTTGGAAGACGTTTCCAACCTATTATGCATTGTGACTTTAGGTGAGGTTGACTTATGGAACTGCAATCTTATTGATGCAGTGAGGGAGACATACAGCTTCCTTGACAAGTGTGGCACCCGTTGGTAAGGTGGTGAGTAGGGGGGGGTTGGAGGAGTTCCCAATGATTGACCACAAACATACCTTCAGGAGGTGGTTTTGTTATTTGTTTACAGACTATCCGAAGAAGAAGACAACCAAAAAAAGCCAGTTGGGAGCAAGGCTACCCTTATTATCGAGGCCTTGATTTCATCAAACACTTGTAAGGTACTTAGTGTTATGTCCATCTCCCATTGTTATGGAAGGTCCTACTTCCAACTTCTTTTGTATGGAAACCGTTTGAGCTCACAGTTGCTCGGTTCCTCTTGGATTGCTGTAGGTTGACATTGTTTCTTGGTGGTTAGACACAATTAAAGAGAACCACGAGTGCTCGATTGGGTGCTATGACCTTTCAATGTTCCTCAACACTGTGTTCTTGGACTCTGTTGGCTTTTCTCACTTTATTTGTTCGAGCCTTTTCATAGCAACAACCATTTTTGCTCATGGTTGCTTGTTTACTCATGGACTTCTATTCATTGGTATTGTTTATTGGAGATTGGACATGCTGAGAGAGAACCATGAGCGTTTGATTGGATGTTATGCTAGGATCTTTCTATGTACGTCAACCCTACATTCTTGGAGATGTTCGTCTACAAAAGATTTCCATAGGTTGGCCCTTCACCTCATTTCTTCAATGAAGAATGAATAAATGTGTTGGATTGAGAAAGGAACATGATGAAACTTGTATGTGGCTTTTGCGTATAGACGAGTGGGGCAAGCCATGAAGCTTAGGGAGTTCGGGCTTGTGATAGATATGGACGTTAAGCTTGCCTTTCGCTCATATGTCGTGATAGTCGTTGAGATAGCAAGGTCTGATTTTTTTCTAAACGTGTAGAGATTTTGGTTGACTAAAGCTTGAATGACCTATATCTAAAGGTAGGGTTTGTTCAGCGAGTTACATCCCTCACATAGTTGCTCTTCAATTTGGTTATGACTAAGAGCTACCACGTGTGTGTGCCCTTGTTTACAATTGAAGAGGCCTTTTAACGATATTTGCATTCTTTCGTACTTACGTTGATGGTGCTGCCTGAAGGTTTCACAATTCCCTCAATGCATGGGTGTGGCATGGTGTCACCTACATGGGGTGAGTACTGAACTGAACAAGGCAACTTGCCTTGTTTAAAGATTTTGTGACTTGGGAGGTAGAAATTTGTATTCTCGGGGATGGGGAACAAAGATGGGATTGATTTTGAGATGCCCTCTTTGAAGTTTGAGCACTTCATCCTTGATATTGTTTTAGCTTTTGAAATCAATTAGGCCAAAAAGATATTGAGCTGAAAATTTCTAGGAGTGGAGGTGGGGAAAAAGAAGTTAAAGGTAACTTAAAGGAAGGTTTTTGTGGTGCGTAACATTATACTTAACTAACAACTGTCCGACATGCCGACTGACAAATAGAGTTCCATTGTCTAGTAAGATAACCTTGTCATTGCCAACCTCTAAATAACATACTTACATTTGAAATTTGCAATTATTGGGCTAGTGGTGCAGTGAAGCACTAGTATGACTTGAACCCAATTAGTATGGGGCTTCATTTCAACCAGAATCGAAGTATGTCTCTGGGAAGGGGATTAAGGGGTTTAGAAAAATCCATTGCCCTGAGTGTGAAAGGGACAAGGTGTTGCAATACTTCACAAATCAACTACATATTGCCTTGGAGTTGGCATTTTTGACACCTTCGAACAGGAGTGAGTTTGCTTCTTCCATTGTAGGCCTGTAATAACCAAGATGAAGCAAATGATTCAAAAACTTGGCTTGCCCTTATTGTTCAGTTTAGTGAATTTCATTCAATGCTCTTTGTATATCTTGATCAGAGATGCACCCGAGAGACTTTATATTGAAACCCTTTCGGAGCAACTAGTCTTGGTAAAGGAAATATTATAATGATTTATTATTGTTTATTAGGACAGTGTCTTCTCTATTTATGGGGAGAGAACTTTTAGATAATCAGTGTAGGGTAGTTGTTGTGAGTAAATACAATATATATAGAGAGAAGTTCTGCATTAATTAAATAGGAAGAAACCCGTATGACCAAAAAATGAAAAGGTACCCTTAGACTAAATATATGAATAACGAAAGAAAACTACTTCAATCCAATACATTCCTTTCACAGCCATCAAGAGTTTGTCAAGTAAGAACCAAAATCAAGCAAACAATGAAGTCATGGTGAAGAAGTTCACAAGCTGCAAAGTGGATGAAACCAAAAGGCAAATCAATAGTGCCCAACAATTGAACCAAAAAAAAAAAAAAAATAGTGCCCAACAAAAGATGCTGACAAACAAAATGACAATCAATCTCTATAAGCTTCGTGCGCATATGAAAGACAGAATTGTGTGCAATCTGGATCACACTCTTATTACCACAATAGAGAGGAGTTTGAGAGGAGAGATGGATCCCCAAATCAGAGAGAAACTAATGGCGTCAAACAACCTCGGCTACAATATGAGCCATATGTCACTCGATGTACTAACGTGGCTTTCATTGGGAGTAGGGAACTCGGAGAACTTGGGGTAACCCTTTTGCATTTTCATGCCTTTTCAGGCCACATTCAGCCAATAATGATATTGACTTTGCACTTTTTATTAGAGACTTGTGTCTAGTCTCGTAGGATCAATTGTGTGGCCCTTTCAACTTTGTTTCATTTTGCCAACATGTCACTATTATAGCAGTAGAATAACACATCTTCATCATACATTATGAAGTGCTTAAGCTTTGAGAGTGGTACATTGCCTTTTGGAACTTGAAGTTTTCGAATTATTGGAGTTCTCTAATCATCTCCTAGAAGTTCCTTATGTTGCTAAAACAATTGAGTGATATAACATGGCATGGTTCACTTGAAAACTTCTATAACTGTTCCCTTTTGTACCTTTTAGGCTAGCTGGGTGGTGATTGTTGGAGCATGGTCCATCATTACTACTTTAAATAGATTGAGGAGTTTTGAATGATTGTGGACAGTGTTATGAAAGGCGCGCCTAGGCCCAAGTCCCATCCAGGCCCAAGGTTTGCGCCGTGTAGTATTCCAGGCTAGGTGATTTCGATAAGGCGCGCCTAGGCCCAAGTCCCATCCAG